GCTCCTGGCTGCAGCCTACACCGGCTGCCGGAGCGAGGAGCGAGCCCAAGGGGGGACGCTGGCCGGGGAGGCCCCAGAGAGGGCAGGAGGCCCCGGTCAGGGACAGGGTGGGAGGGGCCCCCTGAAAGGGGGCGGGGCATCGAGTGGGGAGAGGGCGGCGCCCCCTGAGTCCGGGGGCAGAGTCCAGCCAGCAGCTGGCCGCCGACCCCTGGGACGATCCTGTCAGCCAGCGAGGTCGGCTCAGGCCAGGCAGCCCCGGAGCCCCGACATCCTCATCCGTCCCCCCGAAAGTGCCCACACTCGAGGGCGCATGAGGCACTCACCGGCCACCCCAAGGCCCACGGTCTCCTGGTCACCCGGGTCGGCGGCTGAGCCCGCAGCGGGCCATGGGGGCTGTCAGGGACACGCCACCTCGCAGGGGCCCCGAGGACGGTGGGGTCCAGGCGACAGCGGACACACGCCTGGCCGGGCTGAGGCGGAGCCCCAGAAAGCAGCTCAGAGGGAGCCCGGCCCCGACTCGCGCGCGGCGCTACCTCAGCCTGCCGGCTGCAGACCTGGGTCTCCCGGCTGGACGCCCCCGGCGACCTCACGAAGCTGCGGAGAACAACTCACGTCTTCTTCAAATTTTATTCTGACATCGCTGTTCAACGGTCTGTCTGCTTTCCGCCCTCAGGTGTAACCTGTGAACCCCCGAACTCCCCCTGAACCGTCCCACAGCCGCGTCCACCTCCCTCGCCTCTGGATCCCACCCAGTGTCCACTTCCAGTTTTCCCGTAGACTCCCACCTGTTTCCTGCCCCTGCTCGCTGCCCCTCCTAGGGGAGAGCACCCCACTTTCCCTTTACCTCTGACTCAGCTTGCGGGGCTTTACGCCGTCCGGCTCCACCCATGTGGCTGTGCTCACCTTTTTGAGGGCTGCATAGTATTCCCCGTGGGGACCACGTCTTCTGGCCACTCGGCTGTTGGGGTGCAAGGGTGGCTTCCGCTTGGCTGCAGGGGGGGCGTTGCTTTGCACACGGGCGCGCAGCCTGGGCGTGTGTCCACTGCCCAGGGGGGTCACTTCGGGGAGACACCCGTCCGGTGGTCACGGAGCGGCCGACGCTGCAGCCAGCTCCACGCAGGAGGGCGGCCGGGCCTGGTGCTGCGCCTTCTCTACCAGATGAGAAAACACCTGTGAGCCCCACACTCGCTGCCGCCTGACCCACCTGGGCGCCGATTCCCATCAGTGTGGACGCGGGGGTGGGGGGGCTGCAGGTGACGCCCCGTGGCCCTCGGGCTTCTCACTGCTCCACATGGATAGAGTGACCTTTCACCCTGCACCCCAAGGGTGTCCCTGTGTGAGGTGACAGGAGGCAGGGGGCACACGGGACGTCAGGGGAGGACAGGGAGGGGCGCAGGGTGATACCAGGGGTGGACGGGGGAGCAGAGAGGGAGGGAGGCGGAGGCCTCCAGCTGGGAAGAACCGGCCCGAGGACACCCGAGGCGACACCGGGGTCAGGGAGACGCAGAAGGCAGGGAAGTGAGCGGAGATGCGAGACAGCCGCGCGGGGAGGCCCGGCAGGCCAGCGCAGTGGACAGCAGGACAGAGGACTCGAGAATGGGAGGACGGGGGTGCTGCCGCTGGGGTCACCGCTGACCTTCCCAGACAGGATCCGGCTGAGTGGGGCGCCGGGTGGTCGGGACTTGGGGACCGCGGGACGCGGGACCTGGGAGCCCGGAGACGCCTGCAGCGCCCCCCCGCGGCCGCGCGGGGCCAGGGCCGCTCAGCGACTGGCCAGGGCCTGTCCGAGGCAGCGCCAGCCTCTGGCTACTGTCCGCTCCGACGGCTGAGCCGCGTCACTCACTGGGGACACAAAGGGAAAGGGACAGACCCAGCACGCGCGGTCGTGCCTGCGCCTAGAAACGCGAGACCCGGGGCGCAGTGCGCGCTGCAGGGGCTGGCGCCGCCCCAGGTGCCGCCCCTCAGGCACCGCAGACGCCCCCAAATGTCAGGAGCAGTTTCCGGAACCAAGTGGGAACGCTGGTGTCCGGGTCCGCTTGCGCCCGCCCAGGGCGGATGGCGACCCCCAGGTGCATCGGTGCTCCCCTCCCCTCCCCTGCACTCCGGTGCTCCTGTCCCTAAGCCCACCAGCGCTCAGGTGCACACCTGTCCCCTCACCTGTACTCAGGCGCGCAGCCCCCTCCCCCACAGTCAGCCGTACCCCTTGCCCCTCACCTGCACTCAGGTATGCACCCCCCTCCACTCACCTGCGCTCAGGCATGCACCTGTCCCCTCACCTGCACTCAGGTGCACACCTGTCCCCTCACCTGTACTCAGGTGTGCAGCCCCTCCCCCACAGTCAGCCGCACACCTGTCC